AAGACTGCATAAACCACTTTCCATCATTTGCAATATGATCTTAAGGACTAATACATACCCAAACATCTGGGAAATAACTAAACTTTGCCCAATTCTTAAATCTGGCGACGCCAGCATAATCGAACATTACCGTGCAATATCAATCATATGCAATTTCGGCAAATTGTTTGAGATTATATTGGTCTCTACTCTGTATACGCCTCTTAGAAGCGATATCGTAACAACCCAACATGGATTCATGACAAATCGGTCAACTGTCACTAACTTAGCTTCTGTTACACAATTTGTTTCAGAGGTACTATTTGTCATTTGTCATTTTTTGTTTCGGAGGTATTGGATGCCAAAGGACAGGTAGACGGTCATATGCACTGTTACGGAAGATGTTGATTTCTCGAAAAAAAAAATATGTAATAAAAGTCGTACAGAAATCGAGATAATAAAATAATACAGGGTAACAATTCACTCATCTTCGGCATTTAAAACGCGTTGTGGGTGAACCCGACCCCATCCACTCCACGTTGAAGCGCAAATCTCCACTAGCGTGCACGTAAGACACTTGAACTAAATGTTCCGTGATGTGGTACGTGGCCTTTTTTTTATAAGCGAAGAAACGGATATCTATCTTTCCTTTATATCACTCTGTTTTTGAATTTCAGCATATATGCTGGATTATAGTTACGCTACCGAGCTGAATGTATCGACATATGCCTAACAAAATTACACCTTAAGGATAGGATGTGTTATAAGCACAATGTGCACATGTAATATTTTACCGGAAATAGATGCAATAAAGTCAGGATGTTTTTTGATTATATGAGTATTCAGTTCCGTTTAGATCTGAATTTTGCCTTACAGTGAATACATATTCTGAAATTATAGTTACTTGCTGTCTCTGGATGTTTTAGCGTATGACCAAGAAAACTACTCTTAATAGTTGTTGTGTATGCGCAATGTGTACATTCACGTATGTTCCTAGAAACGGATTGCAATAAAGTCAGGATGTTTCTTGATTATATGATCATCCAGTTCCATTTACCTCTGAATTTTGCCTTACAGTGAATACATATGCTGAAATTATACTTATTTCCTGTCACTGGATGTTTTAGCATATGACTAACAAAACTACTCTTAATAGTTGTTTTATATGGGCAATGTGTACATTCATATATTTTACTAGAAACAGATGCGATAAGTCAGGGTGTAATTTGATTATATGATTATTCAGTTCCACTCTACTTCTGAATTTTGTCTTACAGTGATACATATGCTGAAATTATAGTTATTTCCTGTCTCTGGATGTGTTATCATATGTCTAACAAAACAACTCTTAATAGTTGTTTTATATGGACAATGTGTACATTCATGTATTTTACTAGAAACAGATGCAATAAGGTCAGGATGTTTCTTGAGTATATGATCATCCAGTTCCACTTTACCTATGAATTTTGCCTTACAGTGAGTACATACGCTGAAATTATAGTTATTTCCTGTCTCTGGATGTTGTAGCATATGTCTAACAAAATAACTCTTGTTGGTTGATTTATAAGCACAGTGTGTACATTCATGTATTTTACTAGAAACGGATGCAATAAAGTCAGGATG